TGCAACGTAGACAACTCAAAAAGTCTTCAGAAACATTGATACTCCGTAATTAGAAAAGGAAATGACATTATTTACCGAGATACTTTTGCGTTAAGAGATTTACCTAAAATTAATAAACAAAAAATCTCCATTTCTCATCCATTTCTATATTCTTGAACACAATTCCCCAGAATAACTTCTTTAATTAATCACAGCTGAAAAATCATCTCCTCCCAGTGAACACAATGTCCCAAATCGAGACATATTATATCGTACTCTTATTCTTTTAAACCGATTAAGTTGCAGTTGCTGGATGAATAGGGTCATAAATGAATAAATACAGTGAGTGTCGCAGTATTTCTACTGATGGAACAACGTCACAACTTGAAAGTATTGTGACAGTCTTCTACTACAAAATAAGTAAATCTTTTTCTAGCAAATTTACTTGGCAACAATTTTTCAAAAACAACTGAGAATGAGATTGTAATAATGACAGACATTAAAATTATAAAAGTAGAAAAAAATAATCCTTATACTATCTCTTTTTTTAAAACATCTTTTCTCTCAGCAGAATTACAAAAAAATACTAAGTAATAGGAGAAAATCAAAATCTAATACCGTTGCTCATTTAGAACTACAACCAGCATACTTTCAAAAGTTATTTATAGGAAACAAAAAGAAATCTGAAATTCGAGAACTTTTCTCAAAGACAATTATATTCTAAAATTTTATCGTACTTTTTACGAGTCTATTTTTTGATAATTTAATTAATTCAATTAATTTAATTAATTTTTTATCAATAATTACTGTTTTTTAGACGTTGTTTCGTAGTTTATTAATACTTCATTAGTTTGTTACGTTTGTACTAATTTTATAATACATTTATCTCTTCAAAAATGTAATTTACTTCATATTTATTCTACTTTTAAAGCCTATATAAATTTAATAAAAACAGAACTATTGATGACAAAAACAATGACGCATCTCAAAAAAGGCTGGAATCTTTTCCAACCGATTGGCGGAAGTCTTGAGTGAGAATTCTTTTCAGAATCATACCAGATTTTTTCAAGAAACAGTATAAGTGTCATTATAAAAAAATATCGTTATTGTAATGTCGTTAGTTATCTCACAATTAAAAAAAATTTAATTAAATTTTCGTTTTTCCTTTCTCCTAAAAATTGTAAATTTTTGTGACAGTATTCTTCTCGATGTGCGATATGACGTCTTAATGATATATCTTAAGTCTTCTTCCACGGTAAGAAATTATTATCATCGTCCTTGTCTGTTACGCGTATCTAAAACACACACCAGTTTGAACTGTCCGTGTGACACACTAACGTAACTGATCACAACACCACTCAACATAATGCAACTAGAGACTTCAAATAACAACTCAGTGAAACGCAAAATTTTCTATGGAGCTAGATTCGAAAGAAAAAAATTACGAAGCATTACTTTCGTACCAACCCTCGTACTTATAATAATAATGAAATATTTCAAATTTTTCCCGTTAACATATCTTTATAGAAATCTTAATAAATATGAGAAAATCTACGCAATTTATCAAAAATTTTAGCACATACAAATACTGAAATTTTCCGAAAATTCTCATTTAATTATTTCTGAAAGTATCATAAAATTTCTGAGAAAATATGAGACATTTTTCCACCAGAATTGCGTGTTGCCTGTGCCATTAAGTTCTTAGAAAAATCTATGCCGTCTGCATTAAAGACGCTTAAACACCTTAATTATATATTGTAATAAAGAACCGTGAGAAATCTATTACAAACAGCAGCGTTTTTGTTAACGCGCACGAGTCCAGTACTGATTAGAAATTCTATGAAGATTTGAAGTTCGTACCCGTTTAGTTATCGATGCCTCAATCGACTATCAACATTGGCGTCGACGTAAAATGGAAAGTAACGAAAAATGATCGCGTTAATTTGCAAGATCTCATCGAATCTTTCATAGGACTCGCTCTACTCGGCATCCATGATAAAAATCGCGACGTCTCGTAAGGTCAGGATTTATCCTTCTGCGGTTTCTAGGTTGTCGCGGAGCGGCCTCCGATCTAACGGTCAACTATTACGCAAATTGCCGTATCTCCAGTGGCATCTTTCATTATGCGGAACGATGAAATTGAAGCATTATTACATTACATGTATGCGCGCGCGGTCCTCCCAAGGAGAGCACGCGTGATGTCATGTGTCATGTCCGTAGATTAGATTCACGTGACAGTTTCAACAGCTTTTCGCTCTTTCGCGAAGTAGATCTAGTTGTTCGTTCGTGGTCAGTCACCAATTAATTCGGTAAAACATTGATTACAATTAAAATACAAACATATGAATATTTTATACTTATATGTAGATTTTTTCTAAGCAGTTTTTTCTGTTTTTATTTGTTGAAAAATTCAAGAGTGAAATTAATATCATCACCTATACGATTAATCTTTTCTCATTTGGTACCCAAAAAAAATCACATTTTATTTTTATAACATTATTTTTATAACATTAAAGATTATTTACGATCAATTATAAAATTACATATAATTATTAATAAATATTTTTATCTTAAAGAATATTGACCGATGGGCTACATGGAATTGCGCGTGACTATTTGTTATCTCTGATAATGCGACGGAAATGATCGATCAATGCAAGAACAAATCGTATGTAATATAAAATATTTAATGACATTATAAAAATCAGATAATCTTATCTCGCGTGATGGTTCGTTCAATACAGCGATAATCCATGAATTCCGGTCTCATGATTATGAATATGAAGAATATGCCAATATAAAAAATGAAATCGTTCGTCAATGTCAGAAATCGCATGAGTGAGTAGTTCACTTAATCACTTACGATTAAGAATTCCAAAATAGAAAAAAAAGAAAAAATACTTCTTTATTCTTCATATTTTCAATTATATTTGCGATTCTTTATTTATTTTATAAATCGGTAAAAATGTGCAAAATTATTTCCATGTATATCAAAGTAGAAATAACACTTTTGAGAAAAGTCTTGAGTGTCGTGAGAAAGAGTTTGTAAAGAAGGTCTACCGAGCTATCGTCGGCCAAATATTTCGGAGGTATAACGGAAACCGTATTCCGAATAAGTCTTTCAATGCTCGCGTCTATATCAACCTGTAATAATGGCAAATTAAAAACGTATTAGTAATGCCGGGTCGCACTGCAATTGCGTGACGTCCCATACGGACAGATCTTCAACTAGGACAGCCGTATTAAAGCTCTACAATGCCTAAATTAGTGCCTACGATTGAAGCTCGTCCACTCGTTGTTACCATGGATAAATACGAACTTCAAATAATAGTTACATGTACATACATTCCGGTTGTCATGGCTTTCATGACACTAATGACATGAGAATAATGAATTTGGCGCGTGTGTACACTTATACAGTTGCATAAATAATAATTATAGATTCTAGCCATCAAGATTCAAGGCAGGGAAGTCTGCAAATCGTATAAGCGAGAGAGAGAGAGAGAGAGAGAGAGAGAGAGAGAGAGAGAGAGATAGCTTCTCGTAATTTTGATAAGTAAAAAAATTTTCGAAAAATTGAAGTGACTTTCTGTGTCATTTCAACATTTAATCGAAATACTTTGACCTGTTTAAAACTTATACAGAATATTATTTAAAGCAAAACTAATATCACATTAAAATTTCAAGCCGATTGATCATGTAGTTTAATTCTAAAAAAATAAAAATTAAAGTTAGAGTTTTACACAGAATAAGGCATTTAAATTGAGACACTTGAATATCTTGAAAAGAAAGCATTTAAAAGAAAAATGTTCCAGACGAAAGTTGTATCGTCTGAAAGGGGACAAATAATGGTAAAATCAATTTTTCGAAAAAAGCGATTTTTTAAAGTCACATAAAGGTTATCGCCATTTTTTTCAATAGAATTGTATAATTTTTTTTACATAATATGATTCTTCTAGTTATTCTGCATATAAAAGTATTAAAGTAAAGTTATCAAAAAATTAATAGTTTACGAGATATTTTATACTTTATTATCTGGTACATTTTGATATGAAATATAAACTAACTCGTAAACTATTCATTTTTTGGTAAGTGTACTTTAACACTTTTATGTATAGAATAATAAGATGAATCAATTGGTGTAAAGAAAACACATAGTTTTGCAACACATTGCTTTTTAAAAAAAATTATTCAATTTGTAAAATATAAGTACATGTCTTTTTTACCACTTTTAAAAATGCAACGTTGTCAAATAATCAATAATTTTCGAACACAAAACATCAAATTATTTATATTTTCTAATAATATTAACATTAATATTATTCGGAATTAAAAATTGGCATTGTCTGTTACCTTTTTATTATAATAAATTATAAAATAGCTTTTTTTATTATTAAAAATTTTTTATAATTTATGTTAGTATTGCTAATACATAAGGGGATAAGTGTACCCCTCTCGCTATCTACCTTCACAAATAATCGATTATACCCACTGAGATATAAGTATGGAGTGGGCACTACGATGCTACGCCCGTAGGCGAAAAACGAGTCTGAGACAGATAGACATTGTGGGATCTCTCTCTGTACAAGAAGCATACGCATATTATTGAGAGAGCTATATAGTTATCTTTATCACACAAACTGCATGACAGAGACAGCGATCCGACGAATTTAATTCTCTCTCGGCTCGCGCCAGCCGAGTCAGTGCCTTTTCCATACTTATATCTCAGTGATCATATCTCCTTAAATATTCAATCTTAAATTAATAGTTGAAACAACAGCTTTTTATTCAAATTGTCATTATTGCTATTATTGCTTTAAAAACAAAAATGACAAGAATTTTCATATAATTATACTCTATTTTTTATAAGATATATAGGTAAAGTAATGATTAATAATGATGAGTATTTTAAGTCCACCCTGTATATACTTTGTAGTTTCCTAGTCCGCCAAAAGATGGCAATACTTTCTCGTGAGCAGAATATCACAGTTAGCGTATATAAGGCCAAGGATACAAGAAGACTTATCCTTGTCTTTGGGGAGCAAAGTGCTCAATGATCGTTTAGTGAGAGTACTGTTGCTGAAACCCAGATAAAAATTTTAACCGCATCCGTAATATATTTACGAGATGCAATTTTTGGGTAGCCTCTTTACTTTACAAGAGGCTTTTTTTATTGCAATGTATCTAATAAAAAAAACGTCACTTGCTTAATTTCTTAATTGGATATTAATTATCGCTATATTGTTGCTCGTTGTTATCGTTCATTAATTTAAACGACGAAATTGTTATGCTTTGCTTAAAATATATCTCGTCAAAAGCTTTCCACACGGTTAATTTTTTTATTATTGACTTTAATGATATAACAGAAAAGTGTTGCAAAGTAAGAATCTTAATTTTAGTAGTAGTAAATATATATCTACTATTAAAATAAATTTTATACAATCGTATCGTCAACGTAATTGACATAAATCAATTGATATGTACTGCGGTCCATAAATGCACAGTTAGCAGCAACGAAAGGTCAAACGTTTGACAAACAGTTTTAACAAATTGGTATTGGCACTACGTAATAGTATTCTATATGCATTGCATAACAGATCGAGCAGCATTACTGTAATTCTGTTAAGAATAGTATTTGAATGTGGGCCACTAAAAACTAGTCGGTTAGTTCACAGTTTTTCGCGGTATCGGTACCGATACACATACAAAATCCAATAAAACGAAAAATGCGTGCCTTCATGCTTGAAAAGGATAATACTTATAATAAAAAATCTTACAATCAGAAGAATCTCGAATCCTCACTAATGTGATCCCAAACAAGATAATTTAAAATTTTGTTCATACACAGAAAAAAAATTAGTCTTTAATCAAAACAAATATATTCAAATCAACACAATCATTATTTCATATATAAGCATGAATATATATTTTTCTTGAAAGAATTTCATATTCATGTATTTCAAGAATATTATAATTTAATTTGAATATTATAATTATTACATAAAGAGTACAAAATATGATTATTTTGATGATAATGATGTTTTATTCTTCTTCCGATTTTTTCTTCTTCGTTATAACAATAAAATTGAATCAACATTGTGTTCACGTAGAGAATATTGAATTTTAAAATAAGATTAAACTGTCTTTATCGTTATAATATGAATATTCTTGGCTTGAAAGTACTGTTATTCTCTATGCCAAAATATTTTCTGTGCTTTCCAGTAATAAAAATTATTTTTGAATAGTAAGAATATATTTTTCTTTATAAAATTTTATTTACCTTTTTCAGAAAGGGATAATGTTTTAATACAAGTAATTTATCTTCGTTTAACGCTGTATAATGTCATTTTAAGATTTACATGTCAAAAATAAAGATATTCTCTAAACAAAAATGTTCTTTTTTCTGTGTAGAGATCAAAAAGTTAAATAATTTATGTTACGCCTTATATGTAAATTTTATTGCATATAGTTCTGTAAAATTAAATTTGACGAATAACATTAAAATGGGGCATAATTCTCGCAATAACTCTTAATAATAACAAGTTAAACATTGAATAACGCTTAATTTCGGATCGGTGGTTCATCAATTATTTTCAATCGTTAACTAGTTTGAGATTTTTAAAAACCTATTTTCAAAGAGTTTGATTCGATCTATAGTTAAAAGGGATCCAAAGGATATAAAAAAATGATTTTTCAACGATTTTAGAATAAAACACAGCTCGCGTATAATAGCAACATGAAACGCTCTAGAATTCTTTCGCGCAGAATTTACGGCCGTAGAGTAATAATAATTAATCTCTGCATCTTCGATCCGGCTGCACGAATGACACATTTATCGTCGTCGTCGGTCACCAGACCTTTCTTCAGAAAGGCTTCTTAGCTATCCACCGGATAACCACGGCCTTTCGCTCGCGGACACATCGCTCGCCGCATATCAAACCCAGCCGCGTACCAAATTGAGCAACCGCGCAAGCGATTGGCGAAAGACACGTTTAAGCGGGAACCTTGGACACCAATCAGTCACTGAGTGACCCTAATAAGCGGTCCAACCGCGGTCCATCTGCCTAACGAAACCGCGACAAAAGATGCTGCGACGTCTTATTCCTTCGGGATTCGCGAGTCACATACAAAATATGTGAAAAAAATGTTTCAAATTCTTCGGCTAAATTTGAACGTGACTATGTTCTCTAAAAATCTGAGAGTAAAATATCACCCACACAAAAACGAGTGATATGCAAGTGTAACGAAAAGTGAAAATTGACCCTGTGCACTTTGAGTGATTCGCCACTCTAAGAGTAAAATTGCGTTCTATAAGTTGGAGTAAAATCACATTCGAGTGAAAGGGCACTCTTTTCGAGTGCAATAGATAAATGTCCATAGGAATGAATCACGTCACTCTACAATTTTGAGTGGAAAATTTCATTCTATTTTCTATTAGAATCATTTATCAGTCAATCTCTAGCAAATCGTGATTTCACTATAGTTTTAGAGTGAGATCATTATCACTCCGATAGAGTAGCCGCTCTAAAAAATTTGAGTAAAAAATTCACTCCTATACCTTATGAGTGCCCGCATTTGCTCAAATTAGAGTGATAACGCTTTCTTTTGGAGTGACCATCGCAATCACTCTAATATATTAGTGGCAAAATCACTTTATGAGATTTAGAGAGTTTCCTAACGAAAACGAAGGAGACAAACGATCTCGAGGGTCAAATGTTCTTGAATAATCAACCATTGAAAATCGTTTCTTTACGTCGTGGCGACGATCTCTTCTCCGTGATCCCTTCTAAATTTCGTGGGTCTTAAAATCTTAGTGGTCTGAAATTAAAATACTGTCAAAGTAAAGCCCTGTCGAGGCAAACGAAGATCTGGCACCAATTTATATTAATTAAAGAACACCGTCCTTCTTTCATTTAAACAGCACTAGAAAGGGTCGATTGTAAACGGCGCGTTTTATAATCTAAACGTGAATTACGCGGGTCTCTATTTCTGTATTCATTGCAGAATTATCGTGCGTGCTTCACGATAGCGTGTGCCAAACAATTCGCAATTTCAAACAAACCTTACATCCACCGTGTACATAATCGTTTAGTTGCAAAATGCACGGGCGTATTACACAAGAATCTCCTAAAGACTTCTTCGAAGTGCTTATAACCTTGAGATAAAACAGCACAGTTCTCGCACAAATTATTTCACTATAAATAAAGTGTCATTATGTCGTAAACAGAACTGAGTCATAATAATGACAGGAGGAAACTTTAAAAAATGACGAAAAACGAGCATTTGTCCATCTATTTAGTATGCACTCATATTTTTATTACGTTCTATATTATTATATCATATAGCCTATATTTTATATACATATGTATTATATTTATCATAAAAGTTAATAAAGTAATTTAACTTGGGATTTACTTGACTGACATTTGATAATTGACTAATTATTGACGTCTAACGCACGTGCGCACAAATTCAGATAAATTGCTTCTTTCTTCTGGTCCATATAAGTTATCGGATAAATTAATGTCCTGCGACAAGCAGAAATAAAAATATAAAAAACAAAAAATTGAATAAAACCGGAGAGATAAATTTTGAATTTCTTTCCTCAGTCATTAAGTTCCAGCACGTGTCAAGGAGAGAGCGAGTAAACTGCGCCAAAGAAAAAGGACGAAGCTAAAGCGAAACTAACAAAGTAGGGTACGAACCGCCGACAGGGGCATCGAACTTTTACTCTCGACAGAATTGTATACTGTATATATACGAGACGGAGTCTATGGATCGTTCGATTACCTCATCGCACAGTCGTGCAGAAAACTGCGTAATGCGGGGTGTCCCAGACCTCTCTCAGAAGGAGAGAAGAGCTTTAATCCACAGATTCTTTGATCAATTTGGAGTTGTTTCCACGACGAAAATATCGGTGAACGGATAGCTTTTGAGTTAAGAAATAATTTGAAATCGAGAGCTTTTCCGGGTACTATAAATAAGCTTTGAAATTGATAAAATCGATTCTTCCTTTAATTTCATGTAAACTTTAGTGGATTTATATAATTAATTGAGAATTATCCTGGTGGAAAAATGTCTCAGAATTTTTCATATTATTAATCAGAATTTCTATAAAAATTTTCGGACTTTCTCAGAATACTCAGAATTTTTCAAATTTTTTATGTACGAATTGAAAAGGAAAACTCAGACAAAATAATAATGAAATATTTCAGATTTTTCCTGCCAATACATCTTTGTAAAAATCTGAATAAATATGAGAAAATCTGTGTAATTTATCAGAAATTTTCATAGATATATATACCGATACTGAAATTTTAAAAATCCTCATCCAATTATTTCTGAAAGTTCTGAGTTATATATTTTTCCAAAATTTTTCATAAGTCTCAAGTCTTAAAAAATTTCTGAGAAAATATGAGAAATTTTGTCACCAGGATAGTTGCAAAAATATTTAGTATTAAGAGCTAGGTAGCGTCAAGTAATGCTCTCCCACAATATTTTTCCAAGGAAAAATCGATTTCAAATTAATATACACTTATTCTTTCGAAAAAAATATTTTGTGCATCTTTTCGTACAAATAGTATAATTTCGATTATCATAATCGACGCTAATTAACTGACAAGTATGGCGTGTGTGCCAAGGTGATTGACTATCAATATTGATTACAATTTCTGCGACCCTTCCGTCACCCTTCGACATGCGGAAAATCGATACCGGGCGCTTTATTTATATCCGACACGTGCATAAAGCGACTGGCTTGGCACTGCAGTCGTGCGAAGATGAAAGAGTTTTTCAACGACCGCCGTTACGGCAACAATCTCACAGATAGACTCGACGCAGATACGCACTCCCGCGCAGGTATAACGCCTTCGTATATTTGTACTATTCGCGATATTTCGCCAACCGACCGTAAAACGAGCTCGTTGTTTGCAGGTCCCTTGCGTACGCGTCGCTTCGTATATCACGATGCTATTTATACAAGATATATGCAGCTTTTTGTATGCTCGGTACACGGAATCATCCCGCTTTTCGGCGGGCTCTCTGTGGCGAAAAATATGTTTTCTCGAGATATATATCGTGAGCAACTATTCCTCGAAGCTGACCGAGAGGATAAGACGCAACACAATTATATCCCGACGTTTCCATAAGAGATTGTTATGTCGCAAATGGCTTTTGCAGTAGATACCGATAAATTGTATTACACATATTATCGTATCACTGTATCGTTGGTACCAAAAGTTAAAATCATTAATTAATTGATTCGTATGCTTTCTACTCCGGAAAATTCAGCAAAATCACAGAATTGAAAAGAAACAGAGTTCTCGTTGTAATATTTCGATAACAATGTGATTGTTGCGCCAAGTGCGATCTCTTATTCCTTTGATTCGTCACCCTGGTAAAAAAATTTATCATTTTTTCTCAGAAATTTTCTAAGAATTGAGACTATGAGAAATTTAAAAAAAATACATAAAAGTCTCTCTCAGATACTTTTAGAAATAATTGGATGAAGATTTTCGCAATATCTCAGTATCCGTATGAATAAAAATTTCTGAAAAATTTTCTTATATTTATTCAGATTTCTCCAAAGATGTGTTGGCGGGAAAATTTTGAAATTTTTATTCTCATTTTGTCTGAAAAACGTTCCAATTCGTATTTAAAAATCTGAAAAATTCTGAGCATTTTGAGAAGTCTGAAAATTTTTATAGAAATTCTGATTAATAATATAAAAAATTCTGAAGCATTTTTCCATCAGGGCATTCTTCAGATAACATGAGACGCAGAATCAGTCTACCGAACTTAGCATTAGACGCAAGAACAAACGATATGCATGTCAACGTCGTCTATGATCTAATAACACTCTGATATTGAAAAGCTGCTGGAAAACTGCCCATTTGAGTTTTCCCACACCAGTGCCCTAAACTCAAGTTTCGTTCCGAAGTTTGATTAAACGAACCTCTGAGTAATCAGAGGCGTTTCGCCAATTATTTGACTTGGCTCATACAAGATCAGACGTGGTCCGTAGACAAGCGTAATATTAACGCCACCGCAGCTGAATGCGAAAATAAGATCGACGGCAGAGCCACCGTATATATTGCACAAGTTAAGACCCCGTATTTACGCGAGATTCAGCGGCAAGTGCTCGCACGTGTAACGAGGCGCGAATTTACAACTAGACAAACTTTACGGCCCATAAATCAAAACCGTCACAATTTCAAACTAAATTTTCGTTCGAACTCGATAGCGTTGTTTTAGTTATAAAAAAAGAAAACCCAGACAGCATGCATGTCTTAAAGATGTCTTTTAGACATGCAGGCGTGCTGTTTGGGAGAAAGCGAGACAAAGAGTTGTCGCGTCTATTATTTAGGGACCCAATGTGCCCGAAGTCGAGACTCGTCGCCGCGACGACCGACGCGACGGTTTGAAACCGGAATCCTGTCGCGCGACCGCCGGGAGTTCTCTCCCCGCGGCGCAGCGCGAGGCAGAAGAGATACATAAACCCGATTCGTCTCGTATGTCTATTCTTACGTTCATAAGGTTATTTACACTCGGTGTCTGACACCATTTCGGTGGCTCGAGCCGCGGCAACTCGGAGCCAAGCGCGACTATTTGTCCGCGTCCGAAGTGCGTCTAGCGAGGCTCTCTCGAGTTGCTGTCGAAAAGCGCGTTTCGCGTCTCACGAAACGGAAATCCGAACGTTTATTAGAACAGCCGATTGTTTGAAGTTTGAGGACGTACGAGGCCTGAGGAAAGCTCCCGCATCGCAGGCCACGATTTCTGTGCATCATCACTTGGTTGTTTCGGAAGTTTCATCTCGGTTGCTCATTACCTCGCACTCGGTTAAAACATGTCGATTCTTTTAGAATATTGTACAAATATTATTGTTGTTATTGTAGGATTGGCTGCGTTCTGCCGATACTCCGCTAGCCTAGCAATCATGAGCAGTCGCTCGTTTCTTCTCCTTTGACCCAATGGATTAAAAGGAGAGGAAACGAGCGACTACTCACGATTGCTGGCTAGCGGAGTATCGGCAGAACGCAGCCATTGTTTTAATCAATGAATAGATTTTACATACGATTAAATGTACACGAAAGTGCGTTTTACATAGAAATTTATAAACAAATTCGTAACCCGAACATCCGTAGTGTAAAAAGAATCTCTCGCAACGTCTACGCAATTCTTCAGAAAGAGAGAAAACATCGTATTTTGATAGTAGATGCAAGAACATCCGGAGATGTGTCACGGCTGTCAACATTAAAAGACAAGACGAGCAATAAAAATAGATCTGAGTTGCTCCAAGTTTCGTCTCATGTATGGTAACATTTTCCTTTTCAATTTTGTGACTTACTTGAAATTTTTTCTGTTTGAAACACATGAGAATTTCTTTCGTCAATTAATGATTTTAACTTTCGATGATAACTGCCAAAACCATTTGCAACAATAATCTCTTTATTTAAACATTGGGATATTGTGCGTTACACCCGTTCACAATCTTCAGAGCAAACTCGTTTAAGAACGGCCACACGCATACAAAATATATAACCAGTGCAAATGCGTCAAGATTATCAAACGATATAACAATAAAAACATTCGAGTCAGCATAACAATGTTACAAACTCCAATATAAACTTATTATCGTAGGATGTCGTGATAATCGATGTCAAATCAACCAGCCACAAATCTATCCCTTTTAACCGGCATGTTAACTTAGATACTAATTTACAGTATTTTTACTCGCTGCATAATACTCTCGTTAAATAAATATTTTCAAGAGATATTTTGCTACGTGTTCTTTTATAAACCCGCTGCGATTCCTGTCGCAAGGAGGGTCGCAAAGCTTACCCGATTCCGAAAAGCAAGGGAAGATACGCGTTGGCATTTGCTCGATACCGCGCGACAGCGCGACGATAAGGCACAATAAAGCACTCGTGGATTACGTGAACCGCGCGACGCGACGGGCCGAAAGAAACTGGACGGTGGCCGCGACCCCACGGACCCCACCACAAGCCGGCACTCGGCCGACGAATGTAAACATTCGTGACAGCTGATCGACGAAGTACACGGCTCCGATTCTAGCCCCGATAGCGGCGGTAGCGATCCGCTGTTATACATGCAAGTACATACATGCGAGTCAAATATTACGGCTCACGAATGCGGGCGGCTATAAAGCGGCAGGTACTGCCCAGAATACTATTTCGACTCGACACTCTCGGTGTGCCAAATATTTGCGATAAACACGTTTCGCTGTGCTACCTAGAAACATTCGAGAGATTTAACGAGATTTGAGTTTTATACTTCTTACATCGTGTGCTAACTATGTACAGATCCATTAAAGTACTACAAATCGTGTGCGACGTAAGAAATATTTCGTAGTCATCCAAACAACACAAAAATCTAATAAAATCATAGAATGACCCTCGAGAATTAAAAATAAGAGAGAAAAGAGGCAATTAGGGTCGGACGCGGTTCTTCGTGCGTGGAATCTGTTTATTCGTCTTCTTGAACAAAAATCTAAAATGTCTAAAAAAATATTTTTACGTATTTATATTTCTTAGACTTTTGTGTTGCCTGTAGACAAATATTGCATTTCACTATAAAATAAATCAGCAGCGAATATACTAAAGATCGAAAATCAACGCACAAATGAGAGCAAACACTTCTTAATCGGATATCTGTATGTAGATATCTATACAAAAAATTCTAGTTTCAATCATGTATAGGTCTCAAATTCGATTTCGACTCTTAGCCTTTATACACATTTTAGTTTTAAGAAGCTAATTAAAAGTTTTGAATGAAAGAATATAAGTTTGCGAGGTAGAAAACTGTAATGGAGATTGATAAAAAACTAATACATTCATACATATGTATTAAAAATGTCATGTAACTATATCATGGCTTTGGTTTCATATGACTACGTAAACAGAATAGGAACCGCAAACTATATTTTATATTCTTTTCAACTAATATCATCCATTGGAATGTATAATACGTACATAACGGTATAGCTACTGCAAGATTTACTTCATTGAGTCTCGCAGCAATATTATGCCTAACATATTGCACCTATATTTAAGAATTAATATCTGATAACGTGGTACCCGATACCGCTAAGCAGTAGAACTAATTAATCTGATAACATTTGGTATGAATCACACGTAAAACAATTGCAAAAAAAATTGGGAAATTCACAGCTGATATAAATACAATATCTCACTCTTATAATCCTACATATAATTTATGGTTGGGTAACCAGTTTTTTTATTCTAAAATGGGAAACACTATTTTTCGAACAAAACTCGTGTGCACACAGTAAGTAAATAATGTATTAGGTGTATGCAAAAGTTTTAGTCTTTTTTTCGCTTTAGGTGCATAATATATGTAATACAATTCAGTTATCAAAATATTTTCCTTCGTTTTCTGTAACTTTCTGTCATCTTTCGAGCAAATTATGGATTTCTTTACAAAAAACATCGGTTTGGAGGCAATAAAATCGTGGATCTATTTTCGTATTTCATTCACATTTTGAAAGCGCTGTCCGGCTAAAGAATGCTGCATCGATCGGAATAGATGATAATCCGAAGGCGTCAACTCGGGTAAATTTCCCAGCCCAAATCAAAGATGATTTGCTGAATACAAAGAGCAACATGCGGTTTTCGTCGCTCATCGTGTTCACTATTGTTTTACCAGATTGTGTTTATCATTAAATCATGACATATGATGATGATTTACAAACTTAATTCATGACCAATTTAAAAACGCAGAAAGGCAAGAATTTATTTGAGATTTAAATAATGATAATAGAGCGCTGAAGAAAAAGACTAAAATTTTTGCATACACCTACTACCTCATTGTTATCACACATTATTATAATAGTTTTATCCTGCGATAGTACTAATGCCAATAGCCAAAAGATTCAAGACTGAATTTAAAATTGGTTCAATAGAGAAATCTGATTGATATATGCTTTTAATTTTGGCCGAAGCTAATTGCAAGAGTATACACCAATCAAATCCATGAATTTTGCAAAGCATTTCTCTGTTGAACACAGCCATTGTTTTCAATTTCATGCAGATCTAGTTTACTACCTATTCAAATAAAAAATACCTTAGACAGAGCTAATTTAATCCACCTGACCTCTAAAACTATGTCTGATAATTTGCATCATCTATCCACATTATTATCTAATGGCAGGCTAATATTACGACGCTTCATCATTTGCATTATCCTTAAGAGACTCTATACCCATAGTCCATATTACCGATGTATCTGTATTTACAGTCACTTCAGAATTTTCATACGTATTTGAGGTACTTATCAAACCGCCAAATTGCATAGTTGAGTTATCTGAAGCATAAGAAAAGCAAATCAGAAAGATTGTTCAACATATTGATGCGACTTATTAATTTCTAGATCTAGATGAAATAAATGAGATATATAAAACATACTTAAATTCCATTTCAAACCAGTTGTTGATATACAATTAACGGAACAACCGAATGGTAGTAGACCACACCAAGACTTCTGTTCTACCAGGATCTGTGGTATATGTATTCTGTGCAAACCAGGTTTTAATATCCATGTTAAAGAGTTGCTTGCGACTTGTAGTACCTGTAAAAATGATCTCGATCAGAATACGTAACATGGAGACGCAATCACAAGTCTATCTATCAAATAGACACTCTACCCGTATATTTCCCACGAGCTTCTCACTTTTGTACAAGGTATTGACGTTGCCGATGATATGGTCGAATCTGCCCGACGTTTCTGCAAGCACGTATATTTCACCTAACTGCCAAAAATAAAATATTATTCGTTTCATTACATACAACATTAATTTCAAAGGAACATTAACAAGAATTTCTAGAATTACATTTATATTGCGCGTTCTGGCGTAGTGCGCAACTTGCAACAAAGCTTTGGTATAATCTGTGTGATTCTGATCGGGCGTCTCAATGACAGTAGATCCTATACTTCTCAACTTCTGGATCAGGGACAGCGGACAGCTGTCCATATCTCCTGTGATAAGATTCGGTACGTATCGCTCGTCGTTCAATACGTCTATCCCCTGTTCCTCCAGATATTTCAGCCACCTTTGCGTTCCGCCATCCACAGTGACGGTGACTCGAGCTGCTTACATAAAGAGATACATAAATTAACAATGTAAGTTGTGGCACTTGGTTGTAATTCTTTGGCAACCGCAAGAACAAACGACAGGATCACAAGATATGCGTATCTTTAATCGGCATACCTTTGCGCCAGAATTGAAGCAGCACGTCGTGCCTCCAGTATATGGGACGATTCAGCACGATCACCGCGTACTCGCAATGCGCGCCATCCTGAAACGCGTCGAGCGGACTCCACGTTGTCCCGTGGCCGGCCGCCGGCTCCTGTTGCATCATGCGATCTGACGCGACATGTCCCATCACTGAAAAGGGTCAAGGTTAAGGCGCGGAAAATCCGGCAGCATGAGTTTACGTAACAGAAGGTTAAGGCGCCGGTATATGTGATTTTTCCGTCGCGTGTGTTCCGTCATGTGGTTTTCGCGTCGCGAGAACTCTATCTCGTTACGCGGCAAAAATTGTCGTAGGAGCGACGGAGAAAGAGAAAAAGACAGGATCTGTCTCCTCCGTTTGTCCTCGCGGATCCGTATTCCGTATCCGTAGACGATCGTCGTCCACACGTGAGACTCGAAGGAATGCACGCTGTTGCGTTCGAATACGTACTCGCCGGCATGCCTCGTGCTCGTGCGTCGCGAGAAATTACATGACCGACCTCGTGTCTCATCACTACGTCATACGTTGTTCATTAACGACGCGATAACGGAGCGCCGCTCAGGCGCTCACTTATCTCGTACCGCCGTCCACCGGCGATCTGCGAGGTCTCGTAAGGGCTCAGTCACAATGAGAAAAATAAGGAATAAGATAAAGGAATAAGGAATAAGGGAATGTCGCATCTCACTTCAGTACATGTACATTAAAGTGAGATGCAACATGCCTTATTCCTTATTCCTTTATCTTATTCTTAATTTTTCTCATTGTGACTGAGCCTTAAAGCCTGATTTTACTTTCAAATTAAACATCGCGAAAGACGCGAAACATGGTCTCGGAAATCGCGATCGCGCCAAGATCGTGCCTGATATTTATCGCGCGAGCGTCATGACTCATGATCCATATCTTGAAATCCTATCGAGCTGAAACGAGCTGAAGTTGAAGTATTTGTATTTTCGACTTTCGAGTAGTGCGCCATATCGAAGGGAGCTTTCCAGAGCAAGCGACACAAGTCGACACAAACGTCGTTCTATCTTACTTTTTTGGCAATGAGTAACAAAGACAAAACGACACTTGTGTCGACTTGTGTTACTTGGGCTGCGTTCCGATATTCACTGTCAGTACTGAAAATCTATAGTGTACGTTACGTAAACTATAGATTTTCAGTACTTGCAGTGAATATCGGAACGCAGCCTTGCTGGAAAGCCGCTGAAATCACGTCAGATTACGCAACGATCGAAATTGCGATTATTGCGAATTGGAGAATACTAAAGCCGTGATTCTAGCCGGTTTTTTTCAGTTTTTTTCTTAGCACTAATCTTTTAATTGGCTTTATATGTTGTAACGCCAGACAAGCGTCGTAATTGTAAAGAGTTCAAGCTGAATCAACTCATACGATGAACTTACGATAGCGATTACGACGAGTTACGACCATATGCCGTGGCACATAGAAAAACTTAAAACTCAGTAAGCAAATCAGCCAATCACAGTCAAGAACTTAAGGCACAGCCCTAAGGGTTGATTTATAATAGCCGTAACCGTTGATTTAAGCCGTAATCTTTAAGAAATTGACCAATCACAGTCGA